ACAAAGCAAACATTGTCATTTTTTGTTAGACCTTGTAAAACAAATTTGCTGTAATTTTAAATATATCCTATCATTGTAATTATAATGCATATTTATAATATATTGAGAGCATGATTAGTAATATATATATATATACACACACACACATATATGTTGTTGTTTTGGACGCAGAGTCTCTCTATGTAGTGCAGACTGACCTCGAACTCACTGTGTACCCCTGGCCGGCCTCAAACTAGTGGTGATCCTTCTGTCTCAGCCTCCCAAGTCCTGGGATTACAGGCATGAACCATGTTCAGCAATTATTCATAATTTCACTTGTAAGACTTTCCCTTTATTTGATGCCTAGTAAACTTTTACTATATTAAATTTTAACAAGATACATAGGCAGTCTACTATATATTCAAATAATGCAATAACATAATAATTCACAAACTTATTTCTTCCCTGGAGCATCCCTGGACATTTTATTTACTTCCATTTTAATAGATTCCTTTATTATTTCTCTGATGGAATAGACACTAGCTGATGTGTATTCCTAGGCAATAAACTCCATACCATTCTTTAGTGACTCTTCTGGCTTTCGTCTATCCTAAGATCACACAGTACCAAAATTAGTGTTAACCTTTTAAATGAATTAACTATGAATGAAATTTCTTTCATTCCTTGTGAATTGCCCTAAAAGACATCTATAGGGAATTCTCTTCAGTACATCAGGGGAATGCACACATGAAAGAGAAACACATTTACTCTTTCCATTAAAACACACTCACTCATACACACACCTGATCTGGCTTGTCACACTTATCTAAGATGGTCACACTAGTTTGTTAAAAGAATCGGTAATGTAACCCTTATCTAAGATGGTCACACTAGTTTGTTAAAAGAATCGGTAATGTAACCCACTACAAGGACACTTACTCTTTGTTTACTTTCATTTCAGTATTGTTCTGACACCTATATGGCTCTGTTCTACTTATTACCCTTGATAATCTCCTGAAGCATCTCATTTACTTTTGCCATTTCAGAAACGTAATTCAGTTGAGATAAATGTAAACTATAGCAATTGCTTGCTATTTAAAATAACTTATTAAAGCTAGTAATTGATGAGTAAGTTAAAGCTGAATAAAAAGTAATATGTCAGGTAAAGGAAAATAATCCTAAATGGTACGCACAAATAGTACATTAGATGAAAATTTGGATTTGGTACTACAAAAATTACATTCATTCTCTTTCTTTTACTACAAGAATTCTAAGCAGGATAATAGCAGTGGCAAAGAAAAACGTGCATATGCAAGATTTTGCAACCTATCTCTTTAGTACACATATTAAAAAAGCATCTCATGGCCAGAACGATCCAATGTGTTACTAAAAACTATCTCCTTCTAGTCAACTTTTTCTATTTGCACATTTAAAAAAAAATTTTTTTGTCTTTTTGAGACAGGGTCTCGCTATTCAGTTCAGGTTGGCCTTGAGCTCACTTTGTAGCCCAGGCTGGTCTTGAACTCGCAATAATCCTCTTGCCTCAGCCGCCCGAGTGCTGGGATTACAGGTCTGTGCCACCACACCCACCTTGTACATTTTTAAAAATCAAACTCAAAGACTCTGTTTTCTCTCAAGAGGACTATTAGGGAAAGTTAGAATGACAAGGAAGAGTGCAATTAAAAATAGATACAATCAAAGTATGTTACTACATGTACAAAAATCATAATAAAACCCATTGTTTCATACAATATGCACTTACAAAAAAAGGAAATTCATATGTACCGTATTTATTCCCACAATTGCACTACTAGATACAACTACCACTTTACGAATAATTCATAAAGAAAATAAGCCTCTAGCTTCAATGTCACATGTGGTAGAATGGTAATGATAAAAACTGATGTGCCTCAGGTAAAGCTTTTTAAACACTTCTTCCACTATTTGTGCACATTTTGAAAAGTCACACTGGATCCCACCATGCTTCCCTGGATGCTCTAATTTGTTAAGTTTTTAGGCAGGAATCATAGATGTTAAGTTTAAAATCAAGATTTTCAAGCTACATTTATAAGGAAAAAACCTTATCTTTTAGTTTATTCTTCTATAAATGTTCAAACTATAAAATGCAAACAATCTTCCTAACTTATGACTTTGTAAGGATATAAGAGCAATTCAAATAATAGGTATCTTAATGGTAGGAGAACACGTGTATTTATCATTTTATTTTATGTGTCTTTTAAACTGTCTACCCTAATTAAAATAAGAAATACCAGCACATATTAAAAATACAAACAGAAATTAAAATCTGCTCCATTTGACCTGATATACTTCTTTCCATGTATGTTTGTGGTTTTTACCACCCTGATTAAAAATTTAAGACAATGGGGGCTGGGGATTTAGCTCAGCGGCAAAAGCGCCTGCCTGGCATGCGCAAGGTCGTGAGTTCGGTTCCCGGTACCGGAGAAAAACCAAAAAAACAAACAAACAAACAAACAATTTTATTATAAAGATCTAGAATATCTTAACCACTTATGTGGTTTTCTTAACTGAAAGTAATGCGAGCCAAATGCCTCTTTTCTACACCAGCAGAAAACTTGTTCAGCTTGCT